CGGCTCGAGCGGCCTCATCGGCTCCATCGGCCTCATCGGCTCCATCGGCCTCATCGGCCTCATCGGCTCCATCGGCCTCATCGGCTTCATCTTGATCCAATTTTCACCTATGGGTGAAGGATCGCTGACCCAAGGACATCTGCAGAGCAGTGTCACACTCGAATCAGTCAACCCAAAACTCCTGAAAAACACAGCCCCATGCTGGAGAGCTGCATCATCACAAATGACCGCAAGTAGTCCAAGACAATCAGGAGGCAGGTGATCCAAACTGTGCAGCGTTGCAGCAGACAGCCGAGTCCGACACCGGGGCGAGTGGACAAGGGGTCAAGCAGGCCGCAGCAGCCCCGCACTGCAGGAAACCACCAAACTTGCAAACGTTGATCTCAGAGCGGAGGTGCAGGTTCGGTCCACAGTACATTGGGCTCCCTTGCAAGGCGCAAAGCCTTGCAAAATGCAAAGCAAAGGGAAGCCAACACCAAAAATGATATGAAGTTCCCAGACGCCAGTTTGGAAGTGTGAAGTTCAACGAGTCTCTGAACCAAGTCGATCAATCCACACCACACCACAAGTGCCCAGGAGGCCGAAAAAGGCCAGGACTGCGAAGCCATAGTGGTAAGTGGCGTCCCCAGCTGCACAGTCACGAAACAAAACATCCGAACGCCCTTCTGCCACAAGAAGGGGACTGTACACGATCGGCATGAGATGATGGCTGCAAGAAGGGTCCTCCCGATCTCGAGGATAAAGCTAGCAGAATGGCCATCAAGTCCCGAAAAGCTGCATGGGAAAGCAACCAAAGCGAGAACTCTGCGATGAGAGGAACTCTACCCAGTAGCGTTCACCAGCGACGTCTCTGCCCGAACGTCCAAACATCAAAGTATGCCCATCACTCTACAAAAGATGGAGCCTTCAAGCCAGCGGGCCACAAGGAGAAGGACTGGCGATGACCATCTTGAAAACAAACTGCATAAACGCGGCTCATCCCCAACGCCGCGCCGACGCTGCAAAGAGCATCTCCCCAGAATTCTCCAGAGGAGTCAGTGGCACTCAGGGTAAATGCCACCCGGAGATATTTATATCAGGTCAATTCCCGCCACCCGAAGGTGGCCCCTCCCCGGAGGGGCCTCATCGGCTTCATCGGCCTCATCGGCCTCATCGGCTCCAGCGGCTCCATTGGCCTCATCGGCTCCATCGGCTCCAGCGGCTCCATCGGCCTCATCATCGGCCTCATCATCGGCCTCATCGGCTCCATCGGCCTCATCGGCCTCATCGGCTGCATCGGCTCCAGCGGCTCCATCGGCCTCATCATCGGCCTCATCGGCTCCATCGGCCTCATCGGCCTCATCGGCTCCATCGGCCTCATCGGCTTTATCGGCCTCATCGGCCTCATCGGCCTCATCGGCTCCAGCGGCTCCATTGGCCTCATCGGCTCCATCGGCTCCAGCGGCTCCATCGGCCTCATCATCGGCCTCATCGGCTCCATCGGCCTCATCGGCCTCATCGGCTCCATCGGCTCCAGCGGCTCCATCGGCCTCATCATCGGCCTCATCAGCTCCATCGGCCTCATCGGCCTCATCGGCTCCATCGGCCTCATCGGCTTCATCGGCCTCATCGGCTCCAGCGGCTCCATCGGCCTCATCGGCTCAAGCGGCCTCATCGGCCTCATCGGCTCCATCGGCCTCAGCGGCTCCATCGGCCTCATCGGCTCAATTGGCCTGATCGGCGCCAGGGGTTCCAGCGGCTTCATCGGCATGTCTTTCTGGAAAGCTTATTACGGCCCGAAGCAGGCGGAATCAGTTGCGTCCATTTTGCGCCTATGGTTTGCTTCGCTGCCTTTTGATTAGTATTGATCCATAGCCTCTTGGCTTGCGATATAGCCTCCAAGTGTCGAACGTACGGGCGCAGCCCCCCCCAGAAGCAAGACGTGACGGAAGAGAAGGGTTTGGAAAAGAAGAGGGTGATTGAGGGCGAAGGGAGTGGATTCGCCCCAGAAGCAAGACGTGACGGAAGAGAAGGGTTTGGAAAAGCAGAGGGGGATTGATGGCGAAGGGAGTGGATCCAGAAGCAAGACGTGACGGAAGAGAAGGGTTTGGAAAAGAAGAGGGTGATTGAAAGCGAAGGGAGTGGATTAAAAGAAGCGGGGGGGTTGGGGGGGACGCAGCCCCCAGGAAGAGAATGGTTTGGGTCTAAATATTTGTAGATGGGTAGATAGCTACCTGGCTACATAGCTAGATAGCTCGATAGGCTTTTGTTTTTCATTTCTTTTTTTGTGTTTCTTTTTCAAAGTTTGCCTTGTTTGGCTTGAAAATGTTTGTTAAATTCAGATTCTTTTCTTTTCATTTTCCATTGGTCTAGATACCTATAGATGGCTAGATAACTACCTCGATAGATAGCTAGATAGGAGGATAGTTCCTCCAGCCCCCCCTTAAGCTCCCCCCCTTAAGCCTTAAGCCCCTCACCCCCTTAAGCCCCCCTTAAGCCCCCCCTTAAGCCCCCCCTTAAGTCCCCCCTTAAGCCTTAAGCTCCCGCCCCCTTAAGCCCCCTTAAGCCCCCCCCTTAAGCCCCCCCCCTTAAAGCCTTAAGCCCCCCCTTCCCCCCCTTAAGCCCCCCTTAAGCACCCCCTTAAGCCCCCCCTTAAGCCCCTCCTTAAGCCCCCCCATTAAGCCTTCGACCCTTAAGGCTTCGACCCTTCGATGGGAGGGGGGGGGGCAAGCCCCTTCGTGACCCTTAAGCCCCCCCTTAAGCCCCCCCTTAAGCCCCCCCTTAAGCCCCCCCTTGGACGAAGGGGTCAGGCCCGCCCTCCACAAAGGCTACGTTTTGACACTGTGGCATTCAGTACTCATTCAAGCTTGGAACAGGGAACGCATTCAATTGACTCTGGTTGTCCTGATGACAGGGAATCAGGTCCATCAAAGCGATGTCGAATGTCGGCACCTTCATAAACTCAGTCTGGCACCAAATCAGATACTCTGGATCGTGTTAAGCAATCGAGTTCTTCTATAGTCCTTCGATTGTGGTCTCAAATTGTGGAGCTTTTGACACCATATTCACAACTGATCAGGGATATCATGGCATCAGCCACAAAGATCACCACGTTGCGCGGATTTTAGACAATTTTGTTGCTACTACATTGGCCAAATATTTACAATCTATTGTTGGGTTTATTCAAGCTTGCTATTCACCGCATATTGACCTGGACAACCTGACACCTGTGCTTTTGGCCATGCGCTGGCTCGATCCTCAAATGGCATCTACCTGCATGGATCTACAATTCTGAAATCAATCCGATGGAGTGTGAGACATCTGGGGGCAGATTGTTTTCAATGCTCATTTGATAGGTTATTAAGCAAATTTTTGACGGACAAGAAGGCGATTGACAAGAAGGAAAGCCTCCCGCTTCTTCAGCATTTTGCATTGGAAGAAGAAGATTTTGACCTCTTCCACATCGCCACTACTGACGAATGGAATGGAGGATGCTGCAGAGGGGTAGGGGGATGGGATTCCCGATACCTAGCCCTTAAGAGGGAGCGTGGACCCGTCCCAAGGTTGTTGAGTGAGGGTAGAGCGCTTGTACCGTTGACCTCTTGACCTGGAACCATGAAAGGACATGGTTACGTCACACTCCCTAGCTGGCAGGTTGGTGCTGTCCTTGGGGACTCGGACGTGTCAACCTGTGCTGCGTGGTCGACGGGCCACAGCGCCATCCACTCCTTGGTGACTCGGAGGTGGGTCCCACCCTTCCAAGTGGGTCCGCTTTGGATGGTCTTATTTAGTACAAGGAAAACCGTGGGCCTATAGCGCATGTTCATATATCCATATATCTATAAACAACATACACGTATACAAAGGGTGAAACCCTTAATACGCGATACGCAATGTCCTAACACGCCTGCCACAAGAAACCCAACTGCCACTGCGAGTTTGATGCGTTCATCAAACATTCATCTCTTCCAAAAATTAAAACTTCTTCTCTTTCCAAAAACCTGACATGTCAAACAAAACACGCAGCAATCTGAAGTTGAAAAACGGCTGGCGCTGAAGCTGGATCACTCGCGCCTTTTTTCAACTGGTGCACTGGGGGAAATCACAATTGGTTAGCTGCCGTTCCGTCATCGGCTAGGGGTAGGCTATGAAGCCCTGGATTTGTCCACATGCGGATGTGGGCGACAAGAAAAAAAAATTCTCATCTGTACGCCTTTCGACGTGCTCTCGGCGCGTCGCGTAGCAACACATTGACAGCATGTCCTGATCTCTAGCCCGTAAAAAGCTGTAGATTCCGGCCACTTTCCAGTCGTATCGATGAATGAGGTAAATGATCTGAAGAGATCTATGAATCTGTAATAGGGCAAAACGCTCTGGCTCAAAAGGGAGCAGCGTTTGCTGCAATGCAGTCTGGGTTCTCACCTCAATTAATGGTACCTCGTCGGCCATTGCACGAGGTTTTGGCTCACAGAAATAAAATTATGGATTTGGTGTTGTGCGGGTGGGATATGGGCGGGTGTCACCACACCACATCCAGAGCTGTGAGCGGAAAAAGGACTTCGACACTCAAATAATGAACTGTCGTGACACGTTCACACATGTTTAAAAATTTCAGGTTTGTTTCTTGGTAAACAAACCCCCAAGGTTGAAGGTTTGGTGTACGCACCAAAGAGATTAAAAGTTTTAAAAACAGAACAGAGGTGTTTCCACAAACCGTTGTTTTCTCATGAACTGCGCATTTCACATTCTGCCCACTATGTTTTTGTTTAACAAAAACATTTTTCCTTTGTCCAAATAAGGTTACGATCTTTGTTCCAAAGAGTAGCAACTTATTTAGTACAAGGAAAACCGTGGGCCTATAGCGCATGTTCATATATCCATATATCTATAAACAACATACACGTATACAAAGGGTGAAACCCTTAATACGCGATACGCAATGTCCTAACACGCCTGCCACAAGAAACCCAACTGCCACTGCGAGTTTGATGCGTTCATCAAACATTCATCTCTTCCAAAAATTAAAACTTCTTCTCTTTCCAAAAACCTGACATGTCAAACAAAACACGCAGCAATCTGAAGTTGAAAAACGGCTGGCACTGAAGCTGGATCACTCGCGCCTTTTTTCAACTGGTGCACTGGGGGAAATCACAATTGGTTAGCTGCCGTTCCGTCCCCCACTGAGACACACAGCCCAAGAAGTTTCCCCACTGCCATCCAGTCAATCGGCCCTTTCACCGCACCCAGACTAAGAAGAAATTCGTCCTTCAGTCGGCTTGGTGAATCCGCCAAATTGGAAAGAGAAGGCACCCTTGCAAACCATGACTTCAACTGCCGCTGCATTTCTACGTTTGTGAAGTCATTCACCATTTCAGCTGCTACCATCGTGGCCCCGTGGCCCTTGATGTATGCTGACCTTCCAGCTTCATTGTCAAGATACCAGCAAACCTGGGAGGACTGCATCTGCTGTCCCCATAACCATGCTGACACCACCACTGGAAGGACCTCCAGCTCGTAAATGGGGTTTTTTGATTTGGATAACAAAACATTCATAAGGTTGGCAGGGACTTCGCCTCCAAAGAAAGAAACTATGCTGCCACTCGGGTTGATAAGCACTCCGCCAATGCCACCTGTTTTTAAGCCCTCCTGTCCTTCGCAGGCCCCATCTGTGAAAATGACCCACGACTGTAAACATGAAGGGGTTATGGCAAGCGGTGGTGCAACCAAGACCCTTTCGCAGAGGAACTGTAAGGCTGAAATATCCTTTGCGGAAAGCTCCACCCGCCTTTTGCCACTCAAAGCAAGGTCACCCAGCGCTTTCACAGAGCTGTTTGCAACCCTTCCAAAAGCAAATGACTCGAACCAGTGAAGCCGTCCACGCAAGGATTCTGCTTGTTTGGTGTTGATGGCCTTCTCTTTGAGAATCTCTTTCAAGACCAAATTGAGCTCCTCTTTCCTATCTTGGGTGTGGCCCAAGTGGATCACTCCAGAACCAAAACTCTGAAGATCTATTTCCACTCCCAGGCTTTTGAACTTCTTTGCAAACTTTCCAGCTTTGTCGCCGTCTTTAGCGAATTCAACACCAAGCAGATCGAAGAGCGTCTCCACCGTCTTAGACGTGTTAGAGACCAGGGAGTCCCTAGAAAAAACTGTATAATCGTCAAAGAAGGCCGTCCATACCAGCTTGAAAATGGATAGGCCCAAAAACCATATTGCCAAGCTAACACGAAGAAAACCACCAACTGACCCAGATGCTCCAAATGGCAAGCTGTTTACGCCAAACAACGACACCTGCCCACTGTCAGGATTTCTGACCGCCAACCTGATGACCTCTCGGTCTTTGGAGGAAATACCGTACTGCTTATATGCATGTTTCAAGTCAAAGGTGCGGCCAGAAATGCCTTCAACGCTGTGGCCGCTTTGCATGTAATCAACCATGTAAGCCAGAAATGCCGCGCATTCATCCATGGCATGAACCCTGTACTTCTCCACCGACCCAACCGTGGCATTTATGCCCCCTATGGAGCAGTCGTCAATGACTCTGAGTTTGCCTGCTCGTTGAACAAGCCCAAACCTTTTTGCAAGGAAAAATTTCATGGGATCAGCGTCCTCGTCGGGCCAGATGTAACCAAGGTTTACCTCCTCCATTGTTTTATCCCAAGTGGCTCTCACCAGCTCTTCATCATCACGATCGTCCAACAGCTGCTGAAGAATAGCCTTGTTGAGTCCATGCGCCATCTTTCTCAGGGTGGCCAAAGAAAACTGAGGTTTCTTCACACACTGTGGAAAAACACCAGTTTTATTTTGCCAACCGGTGATGCTGAAGCCTTCCGACAAGTCAGATACCAGTTGCTTGTCCGGGTAGTCAACAGACTCCAGCATTTCTTTGAAGAGGAGGAGTCTTTTCGTTTTCATCAGCGATTGCATGTGCGGTGGGAGGCCACTCTTGAACTCTTCCTCCTGCTTCTGTAACTGCTGTGCCCTGACGGTCCACTTTGTGAGCTCTCTGCATCTATGGAGTGCCAACTCGGCCGGGGGCATATCGATGTTCTGCTTTATTACGTCCTTAACCAGCTCTGGCAAGTGGATGGCCATCCCTCTGGGGTGGCCACATTTTACAGCCCTTTCTGCAAAGTCAACCGGCTCCCTAGGCATTCCAAATTGCGACACCATAACTTCCCCAGCATCAGTGATACTTTCTGCCGAAGCATGCCAAATTGGTTCATCAACCCGTAGATCGCCCCTCTTAGCCAATCGTTGGTGGATCAGTTTGGCTCCTTCTGGTACCATACCTGTAGGGCATTCGACCGTGCTCGCATGCACGACTGTATAATAAGACCCATATTCAGACACCAGTGGCTTGTACCGCTTGCCTCTAGGCAATGCAGACAAAACAACGCGATGAAAAAGTGTTCCTTCAACCTGAAGCTGTTGTTCCAAATTGTCCACGTCCATTGCACCAAGTTGTAAAAATTGCGCTCGCACGATTTCAGCCATTCTTGTACACAGCAATGTGGGGTAAGCAGCTTCTTCAGCGGTTGGGTAGACTACTCTACCATTGACCACCTGTGGCTGCCAGTTTTTGTGTTTATGTATATGTTCACCAGGGCAAGCTGCCGCCAAAGGCAATAGCCATGGTAATGATCCCCAGAACCTCGAGTTTTTCTTCCTTGCACCACCATGGCAACAGTTGTCGAAAATACAGTCGTATCCCCCAACGTCCTCAAGCAGTTGTGCAATACAGGGAACAAGCCAGAACAAGCTGTTTGTTGGATTCTCAATGGTGACGAAAACGCCCCAGCTGATCAGTAGCCTGGCTAGTCTTGCTGTAACGTCATATACCTGATTGGCCGCTTGTGTTCTCACCAAATCAGTTCCAGAAAGATGTGGTAACCCTAAAGGGTGCTCCTCTGACCTAAGGGGCTTGGGCACGTGAAAACCGGCACGCTCCAAAACCCGGTTTGGTTTTTCCCGGGCCTTTGATGCTGTTCCGCAAGCTGGGGCAAAATGCACCCAGCCCAGGTTTTGTGCTTCTGCTTGTAAAAACTGCTCCAACATAGTCAAATCATCAGGGTTTGTAACGTCGCACACAAAAATCTTTGTGCCATGCGATCTGTCAGTGGTTTTGTCAACCGCAACGCTACGACAACCCATGTGCCTGCAGGCTTTTGCAAGCCGAGCCGATCCAGCGAAAATTTCTACCATTAACACATCACTAATGGACTTCCCTTCCAGTCTGCTAGTGGGGCCTGGAGGTCCCGTTTCTGTTTGTGAAACCACTTTGCTTTGCAAAGACCGTAGCTTTTCTCTGGCCCCTGCAAGGTTGAAACTGTCAAGGTTTGCATCTTGCGCTTTGCGACAAGGTTTTGCGGTGTGCGGTGTCAACTTCTCGTTTGAAACTGCACTGTAAGGCTCGGACTGTGAAACCTGTGATGGACCCTCTGTCAACTTTCAGGCATTGGAGCGGCACGTTGACACTCCATGATTGTTCCGCAGGCACTTCATGCAAATGTGTGCCCCTTTTTTGCAACGCCCATTCTGCACACTTTCCTTGCACCCTGATTTCATATTGTAAGCCCAGCAAATGGGCTTTCCTTGATCGTCCACCTGCTTGAAGTCTTTGAGCTCGTTGGGACATAGTGCTTTGGCACGCTGGCTCTGCTTTCCTTCTTTGCGTACTTTTCCTTGCCCCTTCGAACCAGTCTTGCCACCACTGTTGGTGGCTGTAGCACCAGAAGATGATGGCGCTGATTTCACCGTGTCGTGAACCGGCACAGGCAACAGAAACATGGTTACCCGAGGGTCCGTAAGCAGTTTTTGAAAGGCCACATTCATTGGGCTCGGGGTGTCTGTTAACTGGCTGCCCGACTGCTGGTGCTCCTCCGACATGATCATGAAAAGTTCTTTGTCCGCTTTGATGATTTGGTCCATCTTGATCTTTGCATACCCGTCTGGCGCAGGTTTTGACAGCAAACCCAGCAAATATTGCACCCATCTTTGATGCAGGTCCCACTCAATCAATCGGCATTGGTCGAGGGCAATCCCCCGGCGCTGAAGGCTCCATTGCAGCTGCAGCTCCGTATTGTTGTCGGCTTTCAGCGTGGATTCAGCCGCCGTAACTTTCACTGTCTGTTGTTCAATGGACAGCACCTGAGACTTCTCCTTCGTAGCAGCCACTTGTATTTCTGATTCCCTTTTGGTACATTTCGATGGCCCAATCCAAATGATTGTGTTTGACTCCAACATCGACGCCGCCAAGTCAATCAGCGAGTGACTAGGTTGTAACTCCCCAGCAATGTGCAAACCGCTAAGTCGAGCCTGCTGTTGTTGAAGCCTGGCTTGCTTCTCTGCTGCCGGTAGCTTCCTGCTTCCTTCGACATTGGCGTCAAGGGTAACCTGTTGCTTTGTATGGGCCACAATCAATGTACAAGCCTCAAAATGTAAACGTCTGACTCTTGAGACTTCCGATATGGTCATATCTGTGCCACCGTTCAGCTGAGTGCAAAACCCATCAAAGTCTGCTGGTGCAGCTGGCGCTTGGGGTGTTCCAACTGCAAACCCCAAGTCACTGAATGTCCTCAAACGGTTTGTGGCCATGATGCCTTTAAGCCATCCTGACGGATCAATCTTGTCACAGTGCACCTGAAAGGTTGCTTGAGAGTCCACCAGAGCCATGGGTGCGAAACTACGGAGATGAAACAGCTTTAAAACAGTACAAACTGTAAACATTCTTTGCAATCCTCATTATATGACTCAAGCGCATGCAGGGCTGGTTCATGAAAACAAACTGCACATGACATGCTGAGCTCTGAGCCATGTCTGCAATGGTCCATTCATTGTTGAACCCTCCATTGCAGTACCACTCTGACTGATTGAAAATTTTCAAATGAAAACAACTGAGTGTGACTTTCATGTATGTTTTGTCACAGCCATGCCCTACTACTAGTAGTTCCGCACAGCTGCCAACATTTACGCTCTGTCACAATGCGGCATGTTGCCACACTCCAGCGTTAGCCCCTCACTGCAGCGAGGGATTTGAAACAAGGCGTGCATTTGATGACATCAAAACGATGATCAATGCCTTCCTTCTTGTATCGGTCTGTGATCTTTCGGCCACATGAAAGCACCCGTATGTTCCCTTTGGGAGCAAGATGCACCGTGCGCAATTTTGAATGTTTCCAAACGTCCATGTCATCAGGTATCAGTAAAACCCGGTTGGGCACCTTTGGCATAACAACCGACTCCTCATCACTGCTGCTCTCACTGCAGGTCGTGGCATAATCAGACAGCAAGTCAATGGTTTCACCAGCAATCTCACTGCTATCAATTCTGCCAGTGTTCTCGGTTTTCACATCATCTGCAACAGGCAAGCATGTGTTTTGCACCTCTCCAACCTCCTTGTCCAACACCTGGATGAAACGCCCACTCCTTGTCTCATCAGGACGGAAACGCCCTCCTCTGATCGCAGCTAAGCATTCCTCCAAGACACGAAGCGGCCTGGATGCTCCATCCCTGCTGTATCTCAGGGCCATTCTGACTTGGTCTGTGTGATAACCTAACGCCAACCGATCCTCAAACGAGCATCCAAACTTTGCCAAAAACGACAAACAGGTCGCTTTGAAAGAATGTGAAGTGTAGTTAATCTGTGCCTGCAAAGTTGCCTTTGACGTGTACTGCATGAGAATCACATTCAGCCCCCTGCCCGCCTCTGCAGTCGAGAGTGGTCTGACTGATGCCACCCCTCCCTCATCTGGAGCTGGCATCAAAGGAAAACAACCCAAGTCCTCAATGTCCAAATCCGCACGAGCCCTTTGCCAGCATGCGGCCCAGCAGTCTTCTGTGATTCCAACGCCTGGCGCTGTCAAAGGAAGAAAAGAATGACGCATGTTGAGTGCACGGCATGTTTTGTGTACAGCTGTAGAACATTCCACAAAGCAAATGTTGCCATCTGTATCCATGTCCCACTCCAAAAACTGAGAATGTTGGGCATCCGACCACCTGGCTCTGCCGTAAACGCAGAAAAGCACCATGCCACAAAATGCAACATTCCATGGGTCTGAGTCCGACTGGATTGCTGAGTGCACAAGCCTGAGATGCTCCACAGTCAGCGGTGGTGCCTGTTTGATAGTTGCCACCGCCTTCGAACTGGCAGCTCCCATGCACCTCCTACTTTTAATGGCATATTCCAAACTCTCGCAACCAAAGACATGCCTGACAAAAACAATTGCCTCCATGAGTGCCTTCAAACGTGAAGATGGGGCCCCGGCATCCCTTTGTCGGCAAAGGTGGTCATAGAGCTCCGTCTCACTGCATGGAAAATTAAGCTGGTGTGCATGAAGGTCATTCACAAGCCTTCCAATGCTATTGCAACGTTTCAACAGGGTACCTGGCGCCTTATGATGAAGAATGTCAACAATAATCTGACACTGTCCTCTGAAGTCAGGTTTGCTGTGCAACATCTGTATGAAACAATCATCACCCTTCCACGTCATTGCACTGCTGTGCCACCGACGTATAGCCACCTCCCACATGCTGTCTCGGTGCTCCCTCCAAGACTGGACTGAGCTCTTTGAAACCACGTCCATGTATGTCGCAACCCTTAATCTTTTACTTGGCATGCTTGAAACCTCTGTAGTATCATCCAATTGTGTCGCAACTGGTGGCTCGTCAACAACAGTAGGTCTGTGCAATGCAAACTGTTTCACAACTGAGCTCTCGGCACTACCGCTGTGGTCATCAAAAATTTCCGCCCAAAAACCGCTCTCCCAAAAGAACTCAACAGGTTTCTGTTCCAGTTGCATCCATGATTTGTCCAAAACCTGTGACCTATCATATGACTTTGAAGCAACACGGGATTCAGCATCAGAACCATCCACAAAGCTAGGAGAGTAACCCTCTGAAGGTTCAGGCAAAAAACCGTCTGTGTGATCATGCAGCATATCGGGTGTAAGGTCCAAGGCCGTTTCCAATGGACCAAAAAGATCCTGTTTGCCAGCACCAGCGTCATCGCTCACAGGAGTGTTCCGCGACGGATCCGCTGAATGTTGTTGTGCAACCCCAACCAGCAACCCTTGATCGCCAGAAAAGCTGTCCATAAAAAGCAAACAAGTCTATACCCCCATTGCTGTCACCACCATCCAGAGCTGTGAGCGGAAAAAGGACTTCGACACTCAAATAATGAACTGTCGTGACACGTTCACACATGTTTAAAAATTTCAGGTTTGTTTCTTGGTAAACAAACCCCCAAGGTTGAAGGTTTGGTGTACGCACCAAAGAGATTAAAAGTTTAAAAAAAAACAGAACAGACGTGTTTCCACAAACCGTTGTTTTCTCATGAACTGCGCATTTCACATTCTGCCCACTATGTTTTTGTTTAACAAAAACATTTTTCCTTTGTCCAAATAAGGTTACGATCTTTGTTCCAAAGAGTAGCAACAGGCGAGTTGGGTGAACCCCTGAGTGTGGACTCACTGAGTTCGGTCTGCGGTTCGTTCCACTGTTGTTCATGCAAAGGGGGGTCAGGTACACTTCTTTGGTAGGTTGTTGACTTGGTAGTGGTCCCACGTCCTCGTTGGTGACTTGAAGGAAATGAATGGGTAACGGGGCCTAGCCCGCCACAATTGGATGTCACCACTGCTTCAACTTCCGATCCATTGTTTGTGTCCTGGCTAACGGTCAAAGTTCGTGTGTCCGTGACGAATGTCAGGGTAGTCACGGTGTCTGGGGTAACCTGGACCTCCTTCCTGTGTTCCCATACTTTCGGGTATGTGTCACATGGAGGGGTGGACCCAGCGGTCGAGGTTCTGGCATGAAGCACCTCGGCTTAATGTACAGTCGGGCCACAGTAAGGTCCTACACCAAGGATCGAGCTGTGCTGCGTTGGAACCACACTCTTAAAAGGGGGATGTTATAAGGTGGACAAGAAACCAACCCACCGAAGTACCTCATGTGGGAACCTTCGCAGGCCACATTGGACAAAGACATCAACGGTCTGGTGTTGCTTGCTTCTGCGGGTTGCCGCCTTTTTGGCGAGCGAAAACACCGGGAGACCGTGTGCGTCCTATGTGGTGGAAAGGATACCGCCCCAGGGTGCGCCCTACAAGGAGCCAAAAGGTACCAAGCGGACCAAGTACTTCAAGCAGTTAAGTTCACTGACAAGAAAGTCAATGGTCTGCATCTAGACCTTGATGAGGATTTGCAAGCCGCGGGCTGTTTCACGGAAGCAATTCGTGGCCATCAAATGGGGGTAGTGGAGCCAAATGTCATGCGTGGCCTTCAGCCTGCCGGAGCAACCAGAGTCACGCTTGATGCAATCATCCCGTCTGCCTGAAAAGTGGAAGCAGACTGCAACGTTATGTCCGCTGGACCGGCCCTCTAACTATAGCCTGTTGCGGCTTTGGCATGTCCCAAAAGACCTACACCAATTCGTTGACCAGCTCAACCAGCAACTGAACCATCGGCAAGAGACGATGCAGGAAGTCGAACAGGGTTGGCTTGCTGAAGAGCCTTTTCCGGATTTGGAGCGACATTTCGTTGCCAAGCGGTTCCCCATTCAGCAGAAAGACAAAACGCGTCTAATTGATGACTTTTCCATTTGTGGTGTTAATTCCGCTTTTGGAATGACAGAAAAAGTGCGAGTTGATTCAATTGATGAGATTGTTGCTGGGTGCGGAAGGTACGCAACCTTCGAAACCCTTGGGTCAGCGTCCAGGACGTCGTCCTTAACTCACTAGAACCGTCCACGCTACCAAGTCAACCACTCCCAGAGCTCAGCCACTTTTACACACAAGCAACAGAAACATGTCTGCTCATGTCGCTATGGTTCTTGTTGGTGTGTCACGCCTTGACACAAAATGATGCGGAGTCGCCAGTCAGCATCTTTCTGCTAACTTTCACAAAAGCGATCAAAAACACATGTCCTTACAAAAAGTCTTTACATCAAGACATGGTTTGTTTGTTTAAATAAGTTTGAGTGTTTGAAAAACGTTGAAACATTTCAAGCACCAAAACATGATTCATGATGTCTCCCTCAGATCTGTTAGCAACTCCAGTTCTGAATGCCTTTCAGAACGTTGCTCTCGCTATCATCATTGAGAGACAAAACACACTACTCTTCTCCAATCAATGTCAAACAAAGTTCCTTCTTCCGAAGTCACAAAAATGAATTCTACGATCTTCTCACGATTCCTTCGTGCACTTCTGCGATGATTCTGCAATCATTCTGCCGGCAAAACTAAAGCAAAATATATGGAAAATGGTTTGATTTTCCATGTCACTATACAAATTCAAATCCTCACGATGTTCTCCGTGCAATCAAAGTACTCAAAGAAGACGAAAAGTATAACGTTGTTGGGTTTCGTCATCTCCAATAAAACGTGCAAAACATGAAACGTGCAAATACGATGTCAACCATCACGGTTGAGCTCATCATCACGATGAAAACCAAATTCACTTCTTCCAATGCAGAAAAGACCAATGGAAGGACCAATGGATTCATCTCACCACAGATGTCAAATTTTCACACCCCCTTTTGAGATGAACTCCATTCCATGTATAGCTGTAACCCATTCAGACTTCAGCACGTATCGCTCAAGCTTAACAGGTCAATACATATAGTACGAATTGTCCCGTTGTTCACCATCCAATGAACAACCAGCTCATAGTCTTTCCTCGCCTTTGCACCAATGAAGATACTCTCAATCACCCAACTGCCTCTGCACTGAAGTTCCAGTGAAGCAACCCTTTGGCTTTCCAACCTTTCCAGAGTCCTCCACAACCTTGCATGCGCAGAGAAAAGAATACCAATCCTTTGCAATTGGACTCGTATTCTTGTTTCCCAGGTGATTCATACTCCATTTGCAATATCCTGCCATCTCATCATCGACATATACCTCTCGGTATGTCTTGCCTTCGTTGGCACACTTCCCAAACGCAAACTTCGTTCTGCTCCAATCTCGAAAACTCATGCCTTCAGGCACCAAATCAGCAGTAAGCTGATCAAGGACCTTGTCGGCAATCCCAGGAAAGATTGGGATAGGCATGACAGGCAACTGCGCACTCAAAGGTTCAGCTGCCGAGGAAATCAAATCGAATTCATCATCATCCAGAGCCTCACGAAGTCGTTTGCTTCCATCTGTCATTGCTCCTTGACTCTCCAGAGGAGTCAAAACACTGGATCCGGCTGCATAGCCTGACCCTGAATTCCCACTGTTCCACTTCTTCTGAAGAAGAGCAAGCAAAGCCTTCTCATCTTCATCTGTCCATCCAGACTTGGCCATGGCTACAAACCAAACCGCGTCCGGTAGTGAAAAAGCACTAGACTGTGGCTAAACTCTTAGGAGCAATTAACCTAGAACGTGAAACGAAGTGTCGAACCGCCATCACAGTCGTGATAGGATCAGTAACCTTTCAGATTGTTCTGCACTGCGCACACACACACTGCATCTTACAGCATCGCGCAACAAAACTCTGCACAGAATGAAACATGGTGAAAACTCCTGTTTGTCTTTGGCAACGTTTGTTTGAAAACAACGTGCAAACAGAAAATGAAACGAAATGTGGATCCAACTTCTGTCTCTCTCTGTCACAGGGCCCCCTTTCAAATGCAAACTCAACTCTTCTTCGAAGCATGTTTGACCGCAATCAAAATGTATCTTGCCAACTTTCGGTTGTAAAACGCTGTCTCAGTATAGTTGATTTGATAAAGTTCCGCATGTGTCTGACATGTGCATGTAGAAAGTTTGGAATGAAGATTTAGTGCAAACCAGGCTGAATTGGAAACAAACTTCAATGTCTTTCCAATCGGAATACCATCCTTGTTCTGACATCCAGTCTTGCACAACCTCACCAAAGCCTCATGCCTCATGTCAAAACTCTGCAAAAGATTCACTGTCTCAGGTCGGGACCAAATGGTATTTCGTTCTGGAAGCTCAAACGAACATGAGTCTGCATGTTTGAAGTAACCACCAATCGCGTTGATGATCTCATCCCATTCCTGGTCCTTTTCAGTGACTGAGTCCGGATTGAAATTGCGAAGCGGGCTTCCACTTCCACAAGGAGTCGATGCATGAATATGCACCCAAGGTGGACATGACGAATTCTTCCACTGTCGAATGCAAACAGATACACGACTCAACGTTCCAGAACTCTGCACCTTAGCAACTACACCAATGTATGGGACCTTCGAAACTTCACAGACCTTTCTCAAGTTCGAATGTTCCGAACAACACAGTTCCACAATCGCAATTGAAGAACCCTGAGTCAACACTTGCTGCAACACACTCAGCTCACGAAGTTCTGCCAACTCAGCTGTCAAACCATCTGGAACCACAATCCCAAGAGCATAACGATGTTTATAGAAAGCTTTAGCACTCAAGCATTTAGTGAAAAGATCTGCTGGATTTTCAACACCACTTCTGTGTCTCAATTTCAACAAACCCTCTCTCATCTGCTCTCGTAACCAATGCAATCTTATTTCAATGTGTCGTGAACGTCGTGGCACGTCCATGGACCTCACAAGTTGCAATGCGGAGCTTGAATCGCTCTCCAACCAAATCACAACTTCTTCTGGTTCATCGATCTCATGAAGTGCAAACAGAAGACGGTGAACCAGTCTTCCAAACGCAACACTTTCTTGACACACTGATTGCAAACCATAAAGTTCTGCCTCACATGAACTCAGACTCAAAGCTTGTTGCTGTCGGCTCAGAGACCTTACCAAGGACCTCTCAAAGAAAACAGCTCCACCGCTAACACCTACAGACGACAAAGTTGCAACCACATTTTCTTCGGCTTCCTTAGTGGTCGACAACAACAAGATGTCATCAACATACACAACACACAAACAGAACCCAACCTCATGAC